TATTTTTTTACTGATTAGTGCTAAAGTCATTAAATCACCGCGAACGTATTAGTTTAAGGTATAGATAATGATCCATTGATCATTCATTGCTGACCAGACTTTTCCTTTAATGCCTGATGAGAATCTCACTGTCAAAATCAGCTTATTTGTGATAGTACTGTTCTTGTCATCTGGAGAAAACACACTGTAAGACGAAAACTCAACTATTAACGATTCTTTTCTTTTAATCACCATGTGTGGGATTGCTTATTCTTTGAAAACCACCAAGCAATTTTAGAATCATGCTGTGTGAACCAGCCTGCACCAGTGGTAAAAACCTAAACCTGTCCTCCTAATTAACACGTTCCAGCACAGCTGGACATTCTACTGAAAACAACAGATTTCTGATCCAAGAAAAAAAAGGTGATGCAACACTGGGTGAAGACAGCTGATCAGCTGTTTAGTTTCTGTATTAATAGGTTTCCTCCAGCAGGGGCACTATTACGTTGTAAACTCTGACGTTTTTCTGCACTAAGATCTGTCGTTATCATCACTGCTACAAGTTCTGTCTGTCTGGCCTGTTTTAAACCATCCTTGAAACATTAGAGAACAACATCTAAACAGCATGAAATAATGAAACAATAACTTTGCTTTATTAAAAGGCTTCATCATTGAACTACAAAACATTTAGTAGTTGTTATATTTTTACTGTAGATCAGAGTCAGTCATTTTCCTGAACGTGTTTATTAAGACGGGAGGGAAATAAATAACTGAGAGACCTGCAAGCATCAAACAGTGGCTAAAACCCCCAGAGAGGATTCTGGCCCAGTGGCTGGTTCAGATATTTTAATGAACAGGCTCAGTTTTTCCTTAGAAATAATAGTAAAACATTTATTTTTTTTGAACTAATAGAAATAAAACATGCTGTAGAAGAACTAACATAAATTATCCAGAACAGGAAATGGAGGTTCTTTCATCCTGCGCCATAACTTAGAACCAGACCGAAACCCTGAGGACTGAAGCTCGGGTCCCAGCAGCTGATCTCCAAACCTCAGCTGACTTCAGTCCGATTCAGTGATTTCACTGCTGGTGCTTTCCCCCAAGTTACAGGCTGCAGACCCTCCGTTGGTGAACTTTGACCTCAGGGCTCGTTTCCTGTTGCCATAGAAACAACAAAATGTTCAAGAGAAGATTCGCTGCAGGACAAATCTTGAATTCTAAGGAAAGTGATGCTCACCTGCGCTGAGCAAATTGGCAACGATTTAAGGAGGATAAAAATACCTCAGTCTGTTCATCCTGCAGAGGGACAGCAAAGGCACCAATAATCAGATGAAACTTTACATTTAAAATCACTTCAACTCGTTTATTATGACAGAGCATTAGAGCCCTAATGTGTATTTTTTTATTGGTTTAATTACAAGGATTCCATTAATCGAAGCTTGGCTTTTTTTCTAAAGACAGAAAATATTGCAGGGACTTTACCCATGATGCAGCACTGCAAGGTCTATGCTCTGACTCTGCGGGGCCCTCTACATGACAACTCTGCTCCTTTGGCTGAGCTGCAACCTCCTCGTTCTCCCCCGACATCCCGCTAGGGACCTCCTCGCTGCTGCCTGAACGACAGCAGAACAGAGAAAATATAACATGGCATGCAATGGGTTAAAGGACTGGGGAAAAACTTAAGCTTGGTTCCTGTTTCGATGGTAAAAGGACTTTAAAGAAGAAAAAACAGCCTATAGTAGACCACAGTAACCAAAGGTGAGCTGTTAATACCAAACACAATTGACACAAACAGAGTGAGTGATCTTTATGTCATCCTAAGGCAGTCCTACTCTCAGACACTGATGCGGTGGAAGTACCCCTCTCGTCATTTTTAGACATGCTGGTTGCATTAAAGGTTATGGCAGGAACTTACCAACAGCAACTTTGTATGCAAAATTTTCATTGCAGGTCACGTGCGTCTCAAATAACATCCATAAACTCTCATGAACCCTGTAGGTCAATATATGACGATAGGGATGCTCCTGTTAGGGCAGTATCTGAGGTGTAGGAGGCTCAGCAGAGCATCATTATTTGATGAGTCGGGACTGAAGCCCAATCCTAAAACGGACCCTAAACACACGTCAGAACGCCACCCTTACACACCAACTCTGGCTCTGTCAGAATGTCCTACCTAATAACTATGTAGGGCATCATATAGTGGTTACGCTATTTTTAACGAGTGTCCGAACTTCTAGTGGATGAAAAGGTAGTGGACTCAAAATTTCCCACAATGTACCTTGAAAAGTAGAGATCATCAGTGGTCACTAGACAAGCAGATATATTCTGAGTGCTCTCTATGTTTTGCAGCAGTGGCGTCGGATGTTGGAGTTTACCCTGCAATCGAAGGATTGACGGTTCAAGCCCCGGCTCCGACTTTCACTGTCGTTGTGTCCTTGGGCAAGACACTTCACCTGCATTGTCTACTGATGGTGGTCAGAGGGTCCGGTGGCGCCAGTGTACGGCAGCCCCGCTTCTGTCAGTGAGCCCCAGGGCAGCTGTGGGTACAATGTAGCTTACCACCATCAGTGTGTGCGTGAATGGGTGAATGAATGTAGGGTAAAGCGCTTTGGTCAAGTCTCCTGACTTGAAAAAGCGCTTTATAAGTACCATTTACCAAGAGAGCTCTCTTCGCAAAATATTCTGAGTTTTGTTGTTACGGCAGCCCGCTGTTGCTACACGAAAGCAGCGACAAATAACAAAGATGGTGGAGGCGGAGTTACGTAACGGGGAGCGAAAAGTAGTGATCATCTGTCCAAATGTTCAGTTAACTAGGTTCGCGTAATGTCCACTATATAGTCCCCACTCTATATAGTGATTGAGGGATCTAGGGTTAGGGTGGACGTTCGGACACAGCCCCTGTGTTTGCACGTTCCCACGGAGACTCTGCCATATTAAGGATCGGAACAAACCAAAGTAGGACACCTTCTGTCTGCCGATCCTTGAACACACAGGTTAGCTTTCTAAGCCTAGCATCATCAAGTTGAGAGGCGGTATCAACCAGGTGTAAAGAAATCTGAGCAGCCCTTAAGTGCTGCTTTTTTAAAAATGCACAACTTCAATGAAGACTTTTTATCACAGTATGTCCTCTCTGTTGGCCCACAGCGCCCCCCAGTGGCTCCCTGTATAATCTAAACATCCATACATGGGAATCCTTGCTCACATGAGGCAGCCTTACTGATGTGAGCACATGTCCCATTTCTTAAGCATATCATGTAAATATTTCATCCCTGACCTTTAGCGGCGCTCTCGCTGGGCTCCTCCTCTTCCTCGCTGCTCATGCTCTCAAGCTGCTGAAGAAAATAAGTCATCATTACATCATCCCCGTTATTAGATCGACCCCCCTCAGCGTTGCCTTTCACTCACAAGGTGAGAGTTGAAGGTCATCTTGCGGAGGCGTGTCCTCAGCTGGAGCTCCTCCCCCTGTGACCTCAGCAAAAGGAGCTCTAGCTTGTCAGACTTCTCGGTGAGCTGCCTGACGCGCTCCCTGTACTGGTCCTTCTCCTGCAGGTGCAGTCTGGCTTCATCCTGCTGCTGCGCCTGCGACAGCAGAGCCTGGAACAGCAACCCAAGTTCCCAGTTAGTGACTAGATCTTCATCATCCTGCTCGCTCTCCTCCTCTTCAGCCTGCTGCTCATTCTCACCTTGTCTCTCTCCCTCATCACCTCCTCCAGCTGCCGCACCGTTTGTTTGTTCTGCTGGCGGTACATCTTGGCGTCTCCTTTCAGCTGAGTGCAGCGCATCATCAGATCCTCCCTCTCCTCCACACTCTAAAAGCAAAGAAACCGAGGCCCCGAATGGATCCCATTACACGTGTCAGTGAATGCAACATCCACAAAGCATTTAAAAAGTGCCCCATCTATGAGTGCACCACCATTAAATATCTAAAAGTACAGATGTACCTGAACGCATCCTGGAATCAAACCTCCCCTGAACACAACTTGCTTTAAATAACTCATCAGGGGGAATCTAAGATCTATTTTATGTTAAAGCCTGTGTGTTTCCACAAAATCATGGGCATGGAACATGGAAGATGTTCCCTTGCTGACCTCCTCCTGCTCCTGCTGTTCCTCACCTTAGCTCTCTGCTCCTCCGCTTTGTGGAGTTCCCTCCTCAGTCTGAACACGGTTGTGATGAGGTTCATCTGAGGAGCTCGACAGCCATGTCGCTGCTGCCCGTCCTTCAAGTTTTCTTCCTTCTTCTCTGGCTTTTTCTCCTCCTGCGCCTCCTCATGTTTCTCCTGTGTGGGTTTCTCCTTCAGCTCCTCCTGGACATTGGGTTGAAGGCAGACGTCCGAGGGCAGAGTCAGGTTCCTGCTCTGAAAATGTCCACACGTTAATCTTAACTGCAGTTTGAGTCTGAAATGTTGTTTATAGAAGACCCTAATACTATTAAATGAGAGAAATGAAAGAAAATATTTTACAGATAAAAGTGTAGTTTTACTGTTTTGAATGGGAGAACAATTGTATGTGCGGAGATCATTTAGGAGGGGACTAAGCTCACAGCCATGAGGGATACCAGGGTTAGTTGGTGCCTGTATTCTCTACAGCAACTTCTTCATCGATAAAACGTGAGTTAAACAGAGCAGGAGCGGAAATGGCAGCAGTTATTTGATGTAAACAAACCACTGAGCCTACTGTAGGTTGTTTTATGCATGTTGCATAAGGCTGCAGGGATTTTATCATTTTCAAGAGAAATAAGGACCTCACGGTAATGTTGGCCCTCCAGTCCAGCTATGTCCAACCAGTAAATAAGCAGCTTCAGTGTCGGATTAGTGTTTGCATAGATGTCATACTGTACTGTTATATGCTGTGTATTAGTGACGGCACTTACTCACTATAAACCATAGAATGTAACTAAAACCAAAGAAAGTCCAAATAAAAAGGAAGTGGGCTCTTGTTGGTCTCATCACTTAACCAAGCATTTCTTTTTTGTAACTAAATTTGCAGAAGTTGATAGGAAATAAAATAGCATAGTCAGTTAGGCCCCGTCCACACGAAGTCAAACCCTGGCCTAAACGCACAAATTTTTCACCAAACCAGCCTCTCATCCACACGAAGCCGAGCCCTGGCCTAAACGCACAATTTTTTCCCCAAACCAGCCTCTCATCCACACGAAGCCGGCGTTTCGGGGGTCTG